TGCTGGCAATCATGGACAATCCCTCTCACCCCCTCCACAAAACACTGGACAAGCTAAAGAGCAGCTTCAGCCACAGGCTCATCCAACCCCGCTGCTTTAAGGAGCAATACAGGAAATCATTAATTCCAACCGCAATAAGACTATATAACTCATTTACCTCTGTCAGAGCCACCATCACAGAACTGCACTAATATACCTGTCACCCTTGCACCATGTACCCTGTACTACACTACGCCCCATATACTGGAACATTTACTTCTTTGATGTGTTAATTTAAACCATTTTGATATTACAGACCATTTTATACATTAATATTGTCTTTTGCACACTCTGGAGGAGGTGGTGGAGAACAGGATGCTGGCAAAACGAACATTCCCAAATCAGAAGCGCTGGATAAATGGCGAGGTCTGAGCCAAACTCAAAGCTCATGCTGTCGCGCACAGCGCCGGTGATTTGGATGAATACAGGAACTCCAGGTATGCGCTCCGGAGAGCTATTAGCAGTGCTAAAAGATATTTTTTGAAAAAAGTGGAGTCTGACTACAAGGGCTCCAACGCTAGAAACATGTGGTCTGGACTAAAAACTATAACAGTCTATAAAAGAACAAGTGGTGCCGAGGAAGTGCGTGCATCTCGCCCAGATGAACTGAACACATTTTATGCACGCTTTGAGAGACCCCCGGCTGTGGAGGTACAGAAGGCTCAGGATCCCTGCCCCTGCCCCCTGGTTTCATCCAGTGCAGATGTGTGCAGATCCCTAAAAAAGATCAACACACATAGGGCTCCTGGGCCTGACGGCATCCCTGGCCATGCTCTCAAGGTGTGTGCAGTTCAGCTGGCAGAGGTGTTCCCAGATCATTGGGGATGTTGGTCTTGATGTGGGAAAGCACAAGTCTCTAAAAGCACTTCATTGCAATTGGTGTCAGGGCTATTGGGCAATGGTCATTGAGGTCTCTGACAGTTTATTTTTTTGGCACAGATGTATGTAGGTGATGAAGGTGGATTTGAGGTATGTGGGGACCACAGACTGTTGCAAGAAGAGGTTAAAGATGTTGGTAAACACCCCTGCTTGTTGGTCGGCACATGATTTCAGGGTTCAGCCTGATACTATGTCTGGTTCTGGTGCTTTGGTGATGTCTATCTTCAACAGAGTGGATCTCAGTAAGCGTGGTGTCATGGCTGGTCGGTGAAGAGTTGTTCCAGACTGTCTCCTACCTGTAGGCAGCATCCCGTGCTCTGAGCTGAGTCCGGACATTCCTGTGCAGCCATGGTTTCTGGTTTAGGAACACCTTTTCAAAAGAGTCCTGCAGCAATAAAAAAAGTYCTCTCTCCCCGTCGGGGAATTGAACCCCGGTCTCCCGCGTGACAGGCGGGGATACTCACCACTATACTAACGAGGAGGTGRCTTTGTAACTCGCTTATCCAGATGAGGAACAGACATGTGCCTGAAAGAGTGTAAAGACACCTA